AGTTGTGCAATCAGATCGATGACTAAATCTTGCTGAATTTCACGGTCTTTTTCTGCAATCCCCTAGGGATATACAGCTATCCCTTGCCTTTATTAACGTGGCGATAATGACATCTGAAAACTTCATTTTCTTTATGACTAATGATTTATGAATAAATATTTTTTAATTAAATTAATGGTGGTGACATTGGTTAATAAAATTATATACAACTAGAGGCCTGGTGCACAAAATTCGTGCACGAGGGGGTGTGTCCCTCAGCCCAGCCTGCACCCTCTCCAATCTGGGACCCCTCGAGAGATGTCCAACTGCCCACTGGGATTGGGCCTCAATGGGCAGTCGGACAGTCCTCTCACAATCATTTCATACATTTAGACCCACATTAGACTGTTTTGTAATTTTGGCTTCTATTGTCAAATGTAATTTAGAAAACTCAAAGAAGTCAGGAAGTCTATTGTTTAGTATTTTACTTAAAAAAAAAAAAAAGTAGTTTTTAAAAATAAGTGGTTTTGCTCCAGATGAAGAAAATAGGACCAGAGGCATGGATGCATGAAACAGACTGACAGATCTCGGAGGGAAGGGGGCTAGGAGTGGGAAAAGATCAACCAAAGAACATATATATACATATATGCATAGTCCGTGGACACAGACAGCAGTGTGGTGTGGTGAAGGGGATTGGGTAGAGGGGGGGACCTCAGGGGGCAGGACAAATAGGGAATATCTGTGATACTGTAAAAAAAAAAAAGATTTGGACTTAATTATGACAAGAGACCTCAAAACTATTTCTTCTTGAATTTAAAACGGGCATCTTACATTTTAATCACAGGGAGTAAAAATCTGGAAGACAAGCTCTCTTCCCTGCCCCCGCGAATATGTTTGAAGTAATTGAAAACAACTGTAACTTTTGAAAATTAAAACAATTGTAGAAAATTTTCATTGTGCCTTATGTGAAAAATACCTTCAACATAAGCATCTTTAATATGTTAGTGATATTATATATTTTAAACAACAAATGTGTGATCAGTATTCACACACCAGGGGGGGGGTGTCTGTAGCATTAATGACTCTGGGGAAACGTTAGTGTGCTGACACACAACAGCACAATGAGGATGAGGGTGAGCTGTTTCCGCAGACCTCAGCACACGCCAGCAGTCACAGAGCGGACACATCTGTAAGCTATCTGCTCAGGGCTCTGTCCTCCCTCTTCCTCAGTTCACAGTTCAAAGTCCTCCTCTGCCAAATCCCGGGAAGTAATGGAGAACAGGTGTGACTTAATTACAGGATTTGATAATGGAACGCTTGTGAGAAACCATTTTTTTTTTTTGCCCATGAATAATTAATGTAAGGGTAATCATTGTTTCTATATTTCCCTGCATCATTAAATCCTGACTCAAAGATGCCGAGTACATTTGTATCAGAAAGATTTCTTAAAGTTGGTTGGACTACTAAGAAGAATACATGAGGAACAGAAATGTGTGGTTAAAAAAATATGGTATTGATTTATTCAAGCAGATGAAAAGAAGTAAATCTTCCCAAGGAGGCCAATTGGTGAGTAAGAGGGAAGAGGGCTAAAAGAATTTGAAGGGTGTGAACAAAAAAACATGGACAACAAATGTTGAGCATTATGCAAATGCTCGCTGGGCAAAACAGCCGCATGCTGGATAACTCTGGTTCTAATAAAATGGCATTTAGACAAGAACAGTTGTCATTGGATGGGGAATTTATTGCTTGGATTGTTTAAACTTAACAAATAAGAAACTTCAAATGTTTTAGCAGCTAATAGAAAATTTTTAGAGGTCATGTATGGAGACTTAATGTTTTATGCAAGCCAAATATAATATTTTTTAGACATCATCTTTCAGCATATGATTAAATCCTGACTCAAAGATGCTGGAAATGTTATTATATGTTTTCATATGTCATTCTTGTCAAGTACTTAAGAAATGGACAATATATGTTCCTATTGGAAACTGACATCACATCCTGTAGGCCAGGACTTCTCCATCTGTGTGTGCAGCAACCGGGATGTATCAAATTATCTCCAGGGCTGTCACGGAAACCCCCCAACTCCACACGCCCTAAAAGCATTTCACAACAAAGTAGATTTAAATTCATTTTAATATTTTGTAAAAGCATGTTTTTATTGATTTCAGAGAGGAAGGAAGAGGGAGAGGCAGAGGGCGAGGGCGAGAGAGAGAGAGAGAGAGAGAGAGAGAGAGAGAGAGAGAGAGACATTAGTGATGAGAAAGAATGATGGATTGGCTGCCTCCTGCATGCCCCACACTGAGGATCTAACCCACAACCTGGGCCTGGGCCCTGAGTGGGAATCCAGCTGTGACCTCCTGATTCCTGAGTCAGTGCTCAACCACTGAGTCATGCCTCTGGACTAATATTTTTTAAATCAGCAATATTTGGAAGGCAAGGCATTTAGGAAGAATGGGTACCATGAAATAACAGGTTTAGGAATCACTGTTTTAGGTAATAAATATAACCACAGAGCAGGAGACTGCTCGTCTGTAAGATTCTCCCAGTGACTCAGTCATGATTAGCCAGCACTCCAGCGGCAGAGTCCACAGCCCTGCTGACCCTGGAGTGTGGTTTGGTTTGTTTTGCTTTTACCCTTTTCATGACCACTAATTGTAGGGGTTGTCTGTTTCTTCTTACTGGGATCATATTTTAGCATTTGACAATCCCACAGAACATAATGGGACTGAATGCAAAATGGCACAATTTTGATTTAAAAAACATCAGAATACAAGGAGATCCAAGATGGTGGCTAGCAGGACAGCAGGCTGCGAGATAGCATGAGTGAGTGAGAGCGCTAAGGGAGAGTGTGAGGACTGGCAGGGAGTGTCTGTGTTTGTGAGCGAGGGACAGCTACATTCCACAGGGCTGTTGGGGACTGGTGGACCAGGCTCCCCTGGCTGGACAGCCTCTACTACCGCTGAACTCTCTCCTGGAGCAGCAGGCTCTGCCGCAGAGCCCAGGCCATCTTGAAGGGGAGAGCAGCTGTGGTCAGAAGCCTAGCCTTATCTTCAACCTGGGAGATCTTGGATACTCCGGGATCCTACAACTACATCTCCCAGGGACCAGCTGCCCGGCATACATCCTATCTATCAATGGATGAGCATAGACCTATGAACCAGGAATTTAAATGTCTCCGCATTCCTCTCTCATACACACCTGGGACATGTGAGAGAGTGAAGATGCTTTGGGGAGTGGGAGGAGCACCTTGGACATGACATTGAAATTCCTGTTATCTCTTCGCGTCCAACCCACATCATTTGTGGATAAAACAATAGGAGGAGGAGACACAGTGAGGCCACGGAGGCCTGCCTTTCCGGATATGTGGAAGGCGCAGTGGCCTTGCCTGCTCCATCTTATCCACAGGGAAGGGGTAGATAGGATGTGTGCCAGCTGGCTTCTCTCTGCCTGTTTCTTTTCTTCAATATTTTTATTGATTTCAGAGAGGAAGAGAGAGAGAGAGAGAGAGAGAGAGAGAGAGAGAGAGAGAGAGAGAGAGAATATGATGATGATGATGATGATGATGATAAAGAACCATTGGTTGGCTGCCTTCTGCACAATCCCAACTGGGGGTTGAGCCCACAAACCCAACATGTGTCCTGACCAGGAATGAACCCTGACCTCCTGGTTCATAGGTCGATGCTCAACCTCTGATAGATAGGATGTATGCCAGGTAGCTTATCTCTTCCTATCTCTTTTTTAAACATATATTTTTATTGATTTCCGAGAGGAAATTATACTACCTTTTGAGGAATTTAAATAACATACCCATAAGGAAATAATCTAGTTTTTAAAAAATAGGCCTAAGAAATAAAAAAATATTTCACAAATTGAAAGATAATAAATGAAGCAATTCATGTTATGTCACCAAAAGGGAAAGTAAAAATTCAACTCCACAGCAGCCCTAAAAAATGCAATGTTGGGTAAATTAATGTTTTTTTATGGCTTTGACTTTCCCTTGATTTTTAAAAATGTGACTTTTTTCCTCATAAACTTACTTCCCAATTAAATAGTGTTTTACAGTTTTCTTCAGTCACTACGCTGCACTGCGTACATGCGACTGGGGACTCAGCTGTTTGCAGTGTGGGTGGGGCAAGACACTGAGGAACGCAATGGCTGCTGTCTGGTGGTGGCTTCTATCTTCTCTTCCCTTCTCTTCCCTTCTCTTCCCTTCCCTTCCCTTCCCTTCCCTTCCCTTCCCTTCCCTTCCCTTCCCTTCCCTTCCCTTCCCTTCTCTCCTCTCCTCTTCTCTCCTCTTCTCTTCTCTTCTCTCCTCTTCTCTTCTCCCCTCCCCTCCCCTTCCATCCCCTCCTCTTTCCTTCCCCTTCCCTCTCCTCCCCTTTCCTTCCATTTCCTTCCCTTCCCTTCCCTTCCCTTCCCTTCCCTTCCCTTCCCTTCCCTTCCCTTCCCTTCCCTTCCCTTCCCTTCCCTTCCCTTCCCTTCCCTTCCCTTCCCTTCCCTTCCCTCCTCCTCTCCTCTCCTCTCCTCTCCTCTCCTCTCCTCTCCTCTCCTCTCCTCTCCTCTCTTCTCCTCTCCTCTTCTCCTCCTCCCCCTCCTCCTCCTCCGTCTCCTCCTCCTCCATCTCCTCCTTCTCCTTCTCCTGTACCCCCAGGCGTCATGCAGTGCTGTGTCCTCCATGACCCTCTTTATGGATAGCGAGTTCCCCCAGTCTCCTGCCTGGGGCAGCAGCAGGGCTTTGTGCTTTGTTTTGCTTGTTGTTGCTGAGAAACACGACTTGCTTCTTTGACACCAGAGACCTTCTTCTTGGGAATCACATTGTGCACAATAAGAAAATCCAGAGTGGGCCCCACTGCAGATGTTCCTGAGAAGATAAGATTCTCTGGAAATAAAACATTAAACTTCCTCTCCAAAAGAGTTAGACTTTTCTTCCCAGTACTCACTCATCTATAATCATTAAAGCCTAATATGAAAATCGGCCAAATCGCAGAACAGCCATCTGGACGACCTTCCGGACAAAGCCACAGCTGCCAGGGCCTACTCTTGCACGGATTTTGTGCACCGGGCCCCTCGTTCTTTAATAAGTTCAAGGGAATAAACCTTCATTTTTCTTAGTAGTTGTAGTATTGCCCTTCCTTTCATTTCTCAGCTAACTGGCTTTAATAAGTCATTCTTGGAACCTTGATAATGACCTGGAAGCCAACGCACTGGACATTCGATTCGGTTCTTTTCACTTTCACTGGAAGCCTCGTCTCCTTCCCGAGGGTCCGCTTCTCCGATGAAAAAGGAGCAGAAGGTCGTCGGTAAATTCTTCCCAGTGTCCTCATTTCTAGGAATTAGGATCATCACGTTTTGGGACTCAGCTGTCAACTGATGCAAATGTGCTTGGCTGCCCTGATGGGGAGCCTGAGGCCATGAGTTCTGCTTTAGATCAGCTCCGTCATCTCCTTGGCGACCACAGTGGTGACTCTACGGTTGGATACTCCACCAGCACTGGTGCCTTCGGTGGGATCAGCAGGTTTCATAATGACATAATCCTGAAAAGAGTATCAGGGATTAATGCGGTCCCACCGCAATTTGAAATGACTTTTTTCTTCTACCGATAGTGCATAGAGAGCAAAGGGAGACATAAGTAACCGAAATAAAATGTGGTTTCTAAAGCATGAGTTACTTGGAACTGATTTGAATAATATTAAATTTTCATTAGCTCATTCAATTGAATCATTCCTCAAATGTATTTTCCAACTATAATTTAAATCTTGAAAAATGAATTAGGTAACTTATATTTTAAGTTTCTTTATACAATATTAACTTTTAATTCCTATAAGATTTGGGGGGTCAAAATCCCCCCCCTTTTTTTCTTTTAGTTTGTAATCCAAATATCCATGTTTGATTATAATTGCATAGTCAGTGTTAAATAAATATCGATGCTGTTTCCTCTCCTCCCCCCAGCAACAGGATGCACTTGGGATAAACTCCCCTCTTGCCTGCCTGCCTTCTCACCTCCTCAGTTAATTTCTCTCCACTCCCTGCCAGTCTCTGGGCATCAGGAGCCATAAAGGAGCATGATCTGAGTCCCCTGGAAATGGAATGGCTTTGGGCAGCTCCTATGTGACAATAGGTCTCTCAATAGTGTAGGAAGCCCTGAGGCACCCAGCCTGCATGGCTCAGTGATGAGCGTGGACCTAGGAACCAGGAGGTCACGGTTCAATTCCAGTGAAGGGCACACACCCAGGTGGCGGGCTCAATCCCTAGTGGGGGCATGCAGGAGGCAACTGATCAATGATTCTCTCCTCAGTGATGTTTGTATCTCTCTCTCCCTCTCCCTTCCTCTCTGAAATCAATAAAAATATATATATTTTTTAAAAAGAATCCCCCCTCATAAAAAAGAATCCCTGAGGCACATTGGGAGATGATGTTCATGAGACAATCTATTTATATAAAAGGCTAATATGCAGAGTGTCCCCGAGAGAGCATGATGAGAGTTCTATTGCTTGCTATGATGTGTGCTGACCACCAGGGGACAGTGTGGAATGAAAGAAGGTCCCAGCCAGCAGGTGAAAGACCCCATGGGCCCTGATTGCTGGCCAGGCCTAGGGACCTTACCCTGCTTGATTTCCTGCACAGTGCTTCTAGTAACAATATAATTATGCTGATACCCACTTGGCATTGGAAAGGGTCAGTATCAATGGTAATTGTAGTCATAATCAACTGAGTAAATGATACAGAATTTCTTGGTAATAATAATTATCACAATTATTTGCATTCATCAACTTTAGTGCTCATAGGAGTTCTTTGATGTAGTTGATCTTATCTCTTACAGATGAGAAAATTAGTCACCTGCTCCCATCGCACAGTTCACACCTGGTAGAATTGGGTTTCAGCCAGGTCTGCAGGGTCCAGAGCTCGTGCTCTTACAATACACCCTGAGTGCTGCTGCCTCTCTCTGCTGCCCCCAAGCCTAGGGAATACTCACCAGAGAATTGAACACTGTTTACATATATTATCAAAATTTACCTTCTATTTTTTAAACACATTTTTTATTGATTTCAGAGAGGAAGGGACAGGGAGAGAGATAGAAACATCAATGATGAGAACCATTGATTGGCTGCCTCCTGCACATACCCTACTGGGGATGGAGCCCACAACCCGGGCCTGTGCCCTGACTGGGAATCAAACCATGACCTTCTGGTTCCTAGATCAACACTCAACCACTGAGCCATGCTGATCACACTTAAATTTACCTTTTAGAGATCACTGAATAGCTGACATCAACACTAACGTCCTTTAAGAATGTAACGTAATTGTGTGTGTTTTCTTTTTATTAAGTTAAATGTATTGGGATAACATTGGCTAAGTGTGTTTCTATGTTACAAGATTTGTACATTGCACTGTGTGGCCAACACACAAGGTCAAACCATCTTCATCACCAGATAATTGTGTGTATTTTTTTCACATGTATTCATTAATTTTATTTTACTGCTATTCTGCACTTCAAATGCACTCCCAGTTACCATCAAATCCCATAACTTCTCTGCATCACATCTGGATAAATGCATACAGATTACATGCCAAAGAGCTGTGATGCATGGAAAAATTCTCTTGGCATTCCCAAGACTTTTCCATTTCTTTAAAATTAGTCTTTACGTCTCTAAAAAGCAGATATGAAAACTTGTAATTGATATATATATTTTCCTATCCAGGGCTCTATCTGCTGCTTATGTTCTGTGTCAATGTCCCCTGCATGCCTGCTACCTCTTTGTGAGTGAAGAAGCTTCTCGCCCTGCCGATACCCATGTGCCGTTGACTGGCCTTTGTCATGTCTGCAGAGGCCTGGGCGCTGTTCCTCACATCTCAGCTTACTCTGTGCCGATGGCACAGTAGCGTCCGGAAGACGAGGCCGGGGTTGATGGCTCACACAGACTTCCCAATCAGCTCCTGTTGATACAGCACCTCCCCTCGCATCTCTCTGGGCAGTTGGAGGTCCTGAAAGTCTCACAGGTGGTGCCACACCTGGAAATTAGCGTGGCGGCCGGAAATGTCAGGCTCAGCGCACTGAGCCATCCTCAGGACGTGGATGCGGGTGGCTCGTGGCACTCCCATGCTTTCCGTTCCTTTGCTTGCCCATCACGGTGAAGGTGAAGGTGGTCACGGTGCAAGGTGTGACAGCTTTAATCGTCCACACTAGTTAGCCACCTAATTCATTTCAGCCACTCAAAGCTAACCCCGGGAAGGTGCGAGCTCGGAGACCAGACCGTCGTGTCCGCCAGCCGTGGGGTAAGGCCGATGCCTTCCCCTGAGAGCTGAGCCCTTCTCCTCGCAGACACCCCTTTGCCGCCAGGCCCGGCTCCTGTGCGGGAGAACATGGGTCCCGGGGGGAGGACAGCGCTCCCGGTGCTGTTCTCCCCCGGAGGTCCCACGTTCTCGCAAAGGGATGTGTCTCACACGTGGTGTCTGAGCTGAGCCCTCCCTGGCCACGGTGGGAAGGAGGCTCATACACATATTGTTTCATGCAGACGTGAGAAATGAAACAGCTGCATGCTTGGCAAGTCAGAAGTTTTCCTCCCCGAGAGCCTTCTTTCCGGGCTCCCATCACCGTGGATGTCAGACTCGGCACCGGCCTCTCCCCGAGGCAGGGTTGTGAGCAGGTTCGTAAAACTGGAAAGATTATATTGTCGTTAAATCCCCAGGAGCATTCTGCTGGCATAGGTTTATTGGCTGTCCGGCTTCTTTCTCCGGACTCCACCGGCAGAATCCGCAGGATAATCCTGGCCACAGCGTCCACCTGGCTTGTTAAACTTTGTTATGGTCATAAACCTGCTCCTGGATTGCGAGGGCAGATGCTCCTAGACAAGCAACAGCTCTTTCTGTGTTATGAGTGATGAGTATTCAGTCCCTTCATTGGTAATCGTTGGCTTCCATGTTTTCAAGAGTATATCTTGCCGAAACCGGTTTGGCTCAGTGGATAGAGAGTAGATCTGCAGACTGAAAGGTCCAGGTTCGATTCCTGTCAAGGGCATGTACATTGGTTGTGAGCACATCCCTGGTCGGGGGTGTGCAGAAGGCAGCTGGCCGATGATTCTCATTGATGTTTCTGACTATCTCTCTCCCTTCCTCTCTGTAAAAAAAATCGATCAAATATATATATATTTGAATATACTATATATATATTTGAATATATATATATATATATATATATATATATTTTTTTTTTTTTTAAGAGTATATCTTACTCCATAGTCAGCCTTTGGGAGGGGGATAATGATTGTCCTTTAATTAAATCTCTCTTGTTCGAAGCAGGGTACATTTTGTGCTTCAAGGAGACAGCCACTGTTTTTATTTCTCCATACTCCGCCCCTAACATCTTCCTTGTAGCTCTTTTTATGAGCAGTAAAAAGGTAATAACATTATTTTGATAATCACAATGCCAATATTGATGATGAGTGTCGGGATAATCCTCAGCCAGTTCACTTGTTGGCTGCTGCATTTAGACATCAGACTATATTAAATAAAAGAATAAACATTTGATTTTCAGCATTCAGCTTTGGGTCACAACCCATCACATGGAAAATCAGGTCCAGCCGTGAGCTGACGATAATGCAGCTGCATTAATTAGTCAATAGAGCAATTAAAACAATAAAAAATAATTGAATATGTCCTCCAACTTATACTCTTTCAGTTCTCCTTACTCCTGTGTAGATTTAAATTTTTATCATATTCATTTTTTTCTGAAGACTTTTTAACATTTTTGTTGTGGGGGTTATTATAAACTACCTTGCTTTTTTCTTTGCCTAAAAAATTATTTCTTTCATTTTTTTTGAAAGCTATTTATGCTAGGTATCATATTCTAGGCTGATATTTTTGTGACTTTTTAAATATGTCACTTTATAATCTTCTGGCTTCAATAATTTGTAATGTGAATTGTTGAGCAGTCTACTGTAATTCATATGTTTCTGTGAATACATACATTATCCTATTTCTAATGTGTTCTTTTCCTCTGTCTTCCTTTAACTTTAGTTTTGAGCACTTTAA